AGAGAAACTCTGCCTCAATATGCCTTTTTTGGAAGGTTTAATTGAAAACACTGTTATTCAGAATCAATAGCACCACACGATAAAGTATTTTCAAGGCTGTTTGGTTTTGGAACTTTATTAACATAAAGGATTGATTATTTAAAACCCACTAGAGATCTTGGGATATCACATCAAGACTGAAGCTGGTGTCTGGTACATTACAAAGAAAACAGTACAACAACCCATAGCACCGAGAGCCAGCCCATAAATAATATTGTTTGTTAGGTTTAGCTAAAATGCTGGAAAACAGAATGTGGGTTTTTTTTAAATCTCAGGAATCTTTATCATGCTGGAGTAGAAACTCTCCCAAGAAATGCCAATAATTACATTCAATAATCATATTGAAGTTGTAGAAAGCCACAGCTGACAGACAGACAGTGGTACTTGATCTCTATTACTGGTCAGCAGTGGCTCAGTGAATGTAGTATTGCATGCTAATTAAGCTCACTGCCAGAAGTTCAATCCTCACCAGTTTAAGGTTGACTCAGCCTTCCACCCTTTCTAGCTCCGTAAAATGAGGACCCAGATTGTTGGGGGCAATATGCTGACTCTTTAAACCACTTAGAGACAGCTGTAAAAAGCACTGTGAAGCACTATATAAGTCTAACATGTATTGCTATTATAATTGCCTACCTTGAATTTTTCTGTGGAAAGAATGATAATTAACATCATAGAGAAAGCTGCAATTCTGTGAAAAACTTAAATCCTATAGAAATTTGTCATAAGGCTTCGAACAAGTTCTATGCTATATAATATATACTGCACAGAACTAACACTTGAGCATATAGAGAAAATGTTTCAGAGTTTCCTCCCATGGTGCTTGGTGGGGCAAAAACAGATGTTTCTGTTACTCTGTCAGTGCAGTTTTATTTGTGGTGTCCTAGAAAGGAGGCTGTTCAGGAATATGTATACCTAATGGAGGAAAAGGGCATTTGTTCTAAATGTAAAGGTGTTTTCTTTCTAACCTCATCCTATCACAGGTTGGTTTTCCTTTCCCACAAAATGTTTTTAGATTGCTGAATGAGTCTAATAATAGGGCAATCATTATGCCAAACAAGTTGGAACAGAACTAATTTCTTCAATATTAAAATTATTTGGGGAATCCTATTGAAAAAAATATTGAGTCATAAATTACAAGATTCTTGTAATTTATTGAGAAAGAGAAGCAAAGAGTGGGAAAGAGAAAGGAAAGGAAAAAAGGAAAAAGAAAGGGAAGGAAGAAGGGAAGGGAAGATAACCTATACATAGAGTAAACTCTTAACCAATTTTTATTATTTCTGAAATTTGCATATATATCACCAAAATTTGGTGGCAAGTGGCTGATTTTCTACACTTGGCCTGCTCAATCTAATAGTGTAGCTATCATCAGCCATGGTCCACACAGTGGTTCATACAAATAGTGAAATACAAATTAAGTCATATGAATTAAACTTAATCAGGATCACTGCTAGTCACTTCAAAACTATCCAGCTTCATACAGTAGACATAGTGATCATTCAAGAATGAATGAAACCTAAATCTGTCAAATGTTTGATAAAGTACATGTACCCTTTAGTTCTACAGACAGTGGGCTCTTTTCCAAAGCATTGTGTCTGTCTATTAGTAAATTCTATTATCAGGTTGCAAGTGCAAGAGGATTTTTGGGAAGTGACTATGAAACTATGTGATACATCCTATGATGAAAAAGGTTATGAGTATTAAATAAAGCCACCAAAGGATTTTCTGGATATTTCAGAATGTGGAATGCTTCCATAAATATAATGTAGCTTCATCACAGTGGCAAGACAATGAGTGGGATTATACATAATACTAAGTTGAGGTTCATGGTTTGCTGAATAAAATATAATTGGTAGGTTCACACAACATGCTAAACCATTAAGAAATGGTTAAAGCCACAATGGCTGAGTTCATATATATTTTAGGGCTCACATCAGAATGCATTTAAGCAAGACATTGGTTCCTAGTCACATCTTCATATTCAGAACTTGAGAGTTTTTAAATCTTCAAAGAAATTCTACTTACCAGCCACAAATCTATGTCTTTCCTACCATTTTTTAAAACTTTGTTCCTTTCTTTGATCAAAAGAAAGCTAGAATATAGTCTCCAGTTTGGCTAACCTTAGCTGGGACTAAATTCTGTGATTAAATTTACAGAACTTATTGATTGCAGTTATTTTAATTGCTATTAAGGAAATATTACAGTATCATAGAGTTGGAGCCTGCTCTGTGCAGAATCCACAATGGCATCTCTAAGAGACGACTATCCAGCCTCTGAGCAAAGAACTCTTATGAAGACTATTTTAATCATTTCATGTGGCAGCCTGTTCCATTGGCTGCCAGCTTGTACAGTCAAGGAGGTTTCTCCTCATGTACAGTATATCTTGAACATCTTTCACTGATTCTTGTCCTGTCCTCTGGATCAATAGAGAATTCCACTCCTTCTGAGTGACAACACTTCTTTGGCAGTCACAGAATTGTTTGTCTCCTCTGCTCTACTAATAACATTTGGCTTGAAAGCTATATCATGTGGTAACTGTTGGCAATTTCCAGGCCTGGTGATTTCCTACCTACCAGAAATGTGTGCAGGGAAAGATGGGAAACTGCAAACTTTCACTTTACCATTTAAATCTTGTAATTTAAAAAAACTGAACTCTTGACTGTGCATAAGAACTCAATTGGGGGGATATATGTGCAGGCAAAAATGCTTAACTTATACTCAAGTATATATGGTACTCCTTGTAGAATCAGTGGCATTCTGGAGCTGGACCTTAGGGATATAGTTCAGGTTCTTCAATTTATTCAAATCTTTCTTTCATCCTACCCAGTTGGAAAGTGGCAGGAACAGGCAATTGGAGATTGAACAATGGCAAACACCTAGGCAACAAGGTATGTCATTGTATTATTAACTTCTCATTTTAAATACTTCTCAATCAAGGACTGGCAAACTTGTTCTTTTCACTTAAAACAAATACTTCTATGCAAAAACATACAGACACACCCTTATTGTTCTAAGCAACATGGAACATATGCTAAGTAGTGTTCACAAGATTAAAAAAACACACACAGTTATCTCATTAGAAAAATACATAAATTGTTCAATAGCTAGCAAATTATACTTTTAGACATATTGTGGACATTCTTGTATTTTTTTTTACAGAAATTATTCTCTATCACCAATCCAAGATGTTGCAGGAATAGAAACACTTAAAGTAACACTCTAAGATTCCAAGAGAACTATTTAATAATGTAGTAATGAACACATGTAGAAATAATTCTGTGACACTTTTACTGTGGCATAAGCTATTGTAGATTAAAACCAGTTTCATTAAATATTTAAAAAATGAATATTTGGATTGCAATTTCTAGCTTTTTGCCTTCTTCATTTGTAAAGAATGTATACATTATTAAAAGAAAACATAATTAAGAGCATCTCCACATAAAGTTTTGCTTTGCTATGGAACTACCACTAAATTTGGTTGCTTGTATAATGTCAACTTATTTGAAACATTTAAATTTTTTTTTTTTACTTCCACTATATTTTAAGAGGAAAAAATTATTTTTCTTTTTAACATTACAGCTCTGGTGAATTTTTCCTCCTACAACTAGCAGGAAATCCTAGTTCATCTCCTTACTTCTCACAGAATAGATTGAAGTCAATCTCCCCCAACACCCACCATCTTGTTTAAAATTTAGAATCATGTTTTTCAAAACTGGCAACTTTAAGATGGGTGAACTTCAACTACCAGCATTTCCCAGTCCGCATAATGGCTTGGGAATTCTGGGAATCGAAGTCCATCCATCTTAAAGTTGCCAACTTTGAAAATCACTGATTTATATCCTCCACTTCAGCCATCACTAGAACACAGATCTATAATTTGAAGTATACTGAGGAAAGGACCTGGCAGCTGGGCTGCTCTCCATTCTAGGTTACAGTTCTCATGGGCTTGTGCAGTGCTGCAGAAGATTGATCACCTGACAACAGCAAAGCTCAGCAGTTTAGCAATCACTCAGATATTTGGCTGGTGGTCAAAAGCGTGCAGTATGAACACCAACTACAGGGTGGAATCCAATAATTCATTTTATTTCTGTATTCTGCCGTGTGTTGGCCAGACACTGTGTTTCCTAGTTCCAAGAGCTTGACTAAATGCTTTCCCCCCACTAGCCAGTTGGGGGAGGGGAGGAGAGAGAGAGAGAGAGAGAGAGAGAGGGAGGAGCTGTGGACTTATCTGAGCATCATCAGGAAAACTGAATAGAATAGAATAAAATAAAATTTAGTAGGGCGAGTAGCAGTAGCAAAAGAAAGTTTGAGTTTGAAAAAACATCGGATCTGGTTGGGACTGTGGAGAAAAAAACCATTCCAGAAAAATATGCCTCCAGAGCATCCCTTCTTCTATTCCACGTTCCTTCTGTCTTCCTCCCCCAAGAATGACCTAGACTGGAAAAGGTTGGGAAGAAGTCTGCAGCAGTCAATTCTACAGCTTATTTGAACTCCCCTCAGGTCAGCTGGAGAGAGCACAGACTGCTTTCTCTCATTCTCTGCAGCTCCAGGATTTTAAGGATAATAGAGTATGATCGCGGGCCAACTTCAACCTGCTTTGGTGGGATGAGATCAAACAATGCCAGTGTGGACTTGGCTCCATATGCTGATTTGGCGATTTTGATTTTGGGGGGCGGTCGGTTTTTTTTTTAAAAAATATAGTCCGATGAACCCATCAACAATTGTGATTCGGTCAGGAACTATAATTAATTGACAAAGGCTGCTGTGTTATCATTTTTGGACGATTCTCCGCCCTCAAAGTGTATCGCAGAAAACCAAAATTCAGAGTTTCCGCAAGAAACAAGCCGGCGCGGATGAGTTCAGCCGTCCTGTCAGGCCAAATCGCCGTCCGCCGCGGCTGTCACGAAAGCAGTGACGCCACGGCTTGACGGCCAGCTGGTGGCGCTGTCGATCAATCCCGGCGCCCAGCTTTGGTCAGGCGCGCCAGGATTCGGGGCCGTTTCATGAAAGCCAGAAGAGCGGCGGGAGGGGGGCGAGTCCCCCCCAAACCTGGCAGCTCTTCCCGCCGCCCGTGGAGCGAGGTCGGTGTCCTCATCAGGCTCTTTTGCCTTCGCCAGCGGGATGCAGGCGACTTTAAGAGCCAGGCGGGCGCGGCGTTCCAGGCAGGGTGAGGCAGTCGCTCTCCCGGTTTGGCTAGTTTCCCGGAGGATGACCGAAGAGGAACCACTGCCGGCGCTGACTCCAATGCGCTGCAGCTAAGGACTACGAACTGCCGAGGACGGGAGAAGCAGCCGCTCGGCGCACTGGCGTTCCCGAAGCCGGAGCTGAAGGCGAGGAATGGCAACCCAACGCAGCAACGCAGACTGGATGGGCTCCTTGTCGCCCGTCCTCAGCGCCCTGCCGCTTTCCACGCTGGCCATTCCAGGTAATCCGACCTTGCCTGCCTTTGCGTCCCTCGTTTGAGGGAGGTTCCACACCTGACGGGGCTCAGCCTGCATCCCAGAAATATGAAACGTGCTTGGCAAAAAATTTTCAGCAAAGGGCACCTCCCTCACGAGAATACCTTCCAGATGTGCTGAGACCCGTGGAGAGGGCATGTAGGAATTGGAGTTTGATACATCTGGAGGACAACAGATTGAGGAAAAAGGCCAGCTGAGTTGTAAAGAATCGGGAAACCAGGGAGTTTTGAAAGTTGTAATTTAAACGTATCTGGAGGGTGATGGCGGTTATGATAATGTGAAGGCAGGTGCTATTGATTTAAGTGAAATCCAGAAGTCGGGATATGGGGTTGGGCAGATTAAAAATAGACTTATTATCTTGCACTTAAGAAAAAAAAATAACTGGAAAATGAAATGTCATTAGTGATTTGCATCTACTAAATGAGTTTCTTTGAAATGGAGTATAAAACATTTTGTAAATGGTTCCTTCCTTCACAAAATCAGAATGTGTTTTATATATCATTAATAGTCTAAGATTTACAGAACACAGTGTGTGTGTGTGGGGGGGGGGGGGGGGGGTTGAGAAGTTTTATCCCAGAATAAGGATTTGATACATTTCATTGAAAGAATGAATGAAAAGTTTATTACAGTCAAAGGACCAATAGCCAAGAAAGAAACCAAGATACATGATGACATTTCATAGAAAACAAACTCATTCAGGAAATAGTTTCCTCCTGCATATAAATCCAGCAGCAACTGGAACTTCGACTACAGACAAGACTAACCTTAAGCCTAAATTTGGACAAAAGGAAATTTGCACATATATAGTTTAAATTAGAGCCAGTTTCATCTAATTGTTAAGGCACCAGGACAGAAAACTGAAGCCATGACTTCCATCTTAACCATGAAAGCCAGCTGGTGACCTTGGGCCAGTCTCACACACGCCCAATTCACCTCACAGGGTTGTTGGGAAAATAGGAGGAGGAAAGTGTCTGGATATGTTTCCTATCCTAAGTTATTGATAAAAATAATATAGGCAGGATATAAACAAATAGGTATGGTCGAAAAGTCAATGAAGGGTACATTTAATTTATTTTTCCCAAAGTTAGCAGTTAAAAGATCAGCCAAAAGAAGAAAAGAAAAGAAACCCAGAGATTGCAGGCCTGGAACAAGTATCTACTTGGGAGCATTCCTTTCTCATTGGCATACAAATAATAGATTTATTTGTTTGTTTTATTATATCCCAAGAAAGAGTTGTCTGTTATTTCAGAGTCCTGTTTGGACAAAACTTTTGTCCATTGCTTCCAAAGTCTGCTAATTGAGAATCTATTAAATCAAGTATTACTATATCTAAATATTCAGTTATATATAGATGATATTAAATATGGAAAATACCTTTTCTGCTTATTAAAATAAATAGATGTGCCTTAGTAGTGCTATAAAGGAATGTTTACCCATGATAAAGTATTCAGTAAGACTTATATCTCTTTCATAAAAGCTGATCATTGCAGAGCTCAAACAACATTCCCATATTATATTAGATTGAAAGTATATAATTGCAAATGTAAGCTCATTAGGAGAATTGACCTTTACTTAGCAATAACCATAGTTGACTTCAGTTAATCTCAGAATACCAGATTAGATGAATCATTGTTCTTCTTAAGTCTAGTCACCTTAAACAACTGGAAAATCCATAGGTGGCATATGGTGATCTTTGATTTGGGTTTAACTTGCATTTAACAAAGAGAATGTTAGCAGAACCTGCCCTTTCATCTTGCTGCTAAAGATAAAAATGAGGAAATGGGCTAGCAAGTCATAGCAGTAGCTAATATGAATGCTTTGTTAAATGTTTGCTCAAAATTCCCATTTCAAATATTATTGACAAACAAATGGGGCTAGAGAATGTCTCATGTTAAAAGTAATCTGCATTGTTCCTATAGAGAATCTACATACTATAGAGAATGAAGTGAGAGAGAAAAGATTACTTTTAATTCACATATCAATTTTTCTAGATTTAAATCCTGTTATTTTTTTTCCTCCCGAAGCCTTCTCATTTGAAATGAAATGTAAAACTATTTTTTCTGCAGAATTGCAAAACAGAACGTTTATCTTTATCGCAGATTACAAGGATTTTATTGGTCTACTACTTCATGTAGCTATAAAGTTTTTCAATGGATGTAGCAGATGAAATGAGCATTAAGACACTGAATATAGAATAAGCCAATTAGAAAGCACCCTTCTGTTTCATGCCTATAAGCATCTACTTAAATTTAATAATTACCACAAGAGCAAGAAGAGTATTTAAGTACTTGACACCAAACGTAATGCGTTTTAGTAGGACAAGATATCATAGCATCTACATTCTCTTATGTTCAAGCCATCAAAGGGATTAAATTGACAGGACACTAGAATCGGTTTTAAAAGTTATCGGCAAATCCCAGCACTTGGTTTTTAAAACAATGATTTATCTAATCTGCAATATCTCAAATATCAAATAACATTTTTAAAATTTTTGTAATTTAAATGATTCAAAATAAGCCAATGGTATGAATATATCCACTGCTGATAAATAATATTTCTAATAATAATCTCTTTTATTAATAAATCCAACAGTAAAAAGCATACATAGACTATAAGTACAAGTCAATATATTTCTTCCCACCCCATATTCTCCATGTACTCTTTTATTCCTTTATTTAAGAACAATACTTATTGGCTGTTTTTCCTGTTCTAAAGGAAGGCTGATGGTATCCACTATTTTTGTCTCTTTTTACTTTTCTTCTAGTAGTGGTACTGTACTAAATATTATATGTGTGTGTGTGTGTGTGTGTGTGTGTGTGTGTGTACACACACACACACACACACACGTATATATAAATAAAATACCATACTATATATTTAAGACACACACTATACATACATACATACATACATACATACATGCATCCATGCATGCATGTATAGTGTGTGTGTATGTGTGTGTGTGTAATTCTGTAAGTGTTTAAGAAATACTGCACATTATGAACTCTTAATATTACATCAGGAAGATTTATTTCTGTTTTGAGTACATTATAATTTACTTCATGTGCTAATTTACCTTGCCTATGATGTAATATGAAAATGTTAGCACATAATGTTCTTATATAATTGAATGTGACTAAGCTGCATATTAATATCTATGAATGTTAACCATGAATCACAGTACACGTGGAAGATATCTATCAACCATTAATGGCTTACTATTTGATACTTACGTATTATTTGCTTGCTCATGGATACATTTTTGAGCAATGTTTTAACAATGAAAAAGTTGAAATATTGTGACAATTGGCTTCTCCAGTAACCCAAATTACAGAATATCAATAACAAACTGAAGGCAAGGGAAAGGTAATGTTATATTTGTTTTAGTATTACCATCTTGTGAATATTTATGGTTTGATTTTAGGATTCATTGTGAAATATTGTGCTTTGATACTTGTAAAATATATATGAGGGCCTATGAATTTCAGTTTCCAAGGAAATGTATACTTTTCTTAAGTACGTTTTTAAAATATTATTTTTGTCATAGCTATCATACAGTTGAGAGCTATGCTCAAAGTGCTCATGGAAGAGCCACCTGGTGTGCAAATTGTGCACTGCACAAGATTGCCACATGAAGCAGGGCACCACTTGCAACTTTAAAAAAAATACTCAAAAACTGCATGGCATAGGGATATAGAAAGAGTGTGTGAGAAAGAGATACAATATTTTAAATACTAAAAAATGGTTAGGGATAGGCAGTTAGTGAATTTCTATACAAGGGGACCTGGTATGCCACCAATGGCCCTACCCAGTTGCATGCAGAATATTTCAGATTAGAATTATTTTGTGTGCGCAGTGCCATTTCATTTTCAAAACATTTTTTTTCAAGTGTGAAACATTCCTGTCACATTACCAATAGGCAGTTTCAGTCATCCTGAAAGTGTTCTGAGATCAGAGAGCTGTTTTATGTTTTAAATACTCAACCTTGTGGTCAAAATACCTCCCCCACCCCCCCATACACACACATACACAAAATGTTTGAAATAGCCCATTTTTGAATATGGATCATTCTATAAAAAAAACCTTTTCCACTACACTCTTTACTGAAATAAATATTTTTAAGACTTCTTAAATCTGTTAATTCTCCTCCATGCTACATCGAGAGCCCAGGATGGGTTGACTCCTTCCTATGACATCATTTAACTGAGTCTGTACTAAGATATAAAAGCCAGACCCTGGGAGAGACCCCAGCTTTTGACTCAGCTCCTTTCAGTCAGTAGCTGTGTCTCTGAAAGCGTTTCTGTTAGATAGCACTCACCAGCGATCTTCAGTACTTTTTTCCTCGCTTCAAGCAGCTCCCAGGGCAGCTGCTCTTCCAGGAGAGCAGGGCGCTCGCTCCTGCAACATTGGGAGCAGCATTACAGAGCTCTGTGCAGGCAAGCTGGGCAGCGTCTGTAGACCTCCCCCACGCCTGTGGTTTGGAGCGATCGTAAAAATGATCGACAAACTCATAAGAGCACAAGCCAGCTGATTGTGTGGCTGGTTGCTCCGTTTTCCCTTGCTGACTTTGCTCAGGGCTCTGTATAGCCTAAGGAGCGATTCTTCAATCTTGGAGCCTGTTTCTTGTAGTCAGCGGCCATCTTGGATTCAAGCCTTCCACCACGAGGTGAGCGGCCATTTTGTAAGCCCGGGGGCCATTTATACCCTAAGGGGCTTAATAGAAAAATTTCTAAAACAGCTTCTTTCCAACTCAAGAGCCTTTATTCTACAAATGGAACAAGATAAGGCTCAGGCAGAGCTCCCCCCCCCCCCAGTGGAACAGTCTCTTAAGCCCAATAAGAGAAAAAGACGTAGGCAACGCACCCAATTAGTCCAGAGGGAGGTGGCTGCTAAAATCAAAGCTAAGACTCTAGCCCCTAAGAAGGCAACTCAGGCTGAATTGAGGGCAGAAAAGTGCAGACATGCA